ACTATTTGACATTCCGGTGGGATCGCCCGGCCCCTTTGAAATTAATCTCCCTTTTTCCCCCCCCGATAGGTGTCAAGTCATGTTTTCACCTTCATAAAGTATCCCTCATGTCGACATTGACACCTTCTCAGAGGAGCATCAAGGCTGTGTCCGGGTGAGCTGTCACCAAAGTCTAAAGGATGTCGTTGTAATCTCTTTATAGGCGTAGTCGCCACATGGCTCTGTTACAGAAAATGGCTGAGTGTACTGTACGTAATTCACTCCTGTACAAATGAGATGTCCTGATTTATCGCGGCCTATGAGGAACTGTTGAGTATATATCACCGCGCTTCATGTCTCACTCCTGCATATACGGCAAGAATTTTCAACTCCTCAGCTCTATGCAAACCATAAAGCACTTCTTCCCTTCGTCAGCCGGGGCTGGAAGGTTACGTCCACACAAAAGGAAGCGATGAAACATGTTCGTGCTGTATTGTGTGTACTAACAATAATAGGAAATCCATTGTGGGTGAAGAAAGAAATAAACTCGACATCCTGTGTCAAACGGGAATGACGGTGTGGTTGGAAATGCGCCACTCACTTCAGCTGATGCACTTTGTCTCGTCCTTGGCTGACGTCACATGGCTTTTCATGAAATTTTAGTAACTTAGAGAAATGTCTTAAGTCGGGATGCACCGATCTGCTTTTTTCACCTCTGATACCAATACAGATATCTACAGTTTAGTAACGGCCTTGCTCCCTTTTGAAAACAATGTGGGCATCCGCTCGGCGTGTTTACTTGTGGATGCCACTCACAGCATACGACCTAGAGTTAGACTGAATAGATCAGGCCCATTGTCATGATACCCGATCTATAATTTTTTTCAGTATCGGGACTGATAACAATATTAAATATCAGATCGGTGAATCTCTAGTCTAAAGTCGGGAAATAATCATGAAAGCTTTGCTGAAGTTTAGGCGTACCCTTAATCTTAGCTGTTTAGTCTATGAAGGCGGATCTAAGGCGGTCTTTTAACCATCTCAGTAGTAACACGATAATATCAACGCTGTCTAATATTATCAAAGCTATTAAGTATTGTTTCATGAAAATTAGGTCATGTAAGGATAAAATATTGTCAATTGTCAATAGTTGCACTTTTGCCAGTCCCAGAAAAACGCAAGAAAACGAGCACATGGTTAGCTTGTAGGATAAGTACATACCTGCGCCAGTCCAACCACCAACCATACGAGATTACTTTGCACAGAGACGTCTTAGTTTATACTGAGTGGGACTGAGTTTTTGTAGACCTGCTGTCCTAAACAAACTGGATCTGCACCATCAAGACCTTTGCATGCAGGGTTCCTACACAGTTCGAATTTCCATACTTTTCCGTACCCTACATTTTAGAATTATTTTTGGAAATACTGACTTTTGAATCTTAGAAAACAGTATTTTAGAACTGTGGTTATAGTCTGGAAACCTAAATATTTTTCCATACTTTACTTTTCATTTTCCATATTTTTAAGACCTGGAAATTGATCAAATTTATTTTCATACTTTTCCATACTTGCATAGTCATTCAGAAATTTTGCACGCTGAGTCTCATGCGTTTGTTTTTAAACTCATTGCAAAAGCACGAAAAATACGAGTCATGAAGCTCGAAGATTGAAGTATGATTGTGTAGTTTTTATACTCATGAAAAATAAAGAAAAACACTCATCCAACCCTCTAAACAAAGAAGATAGAAAACCAGCAACATTATAACAAACACCTCTATCTGTATTTCAGGATGTTTGGGATATGGGTTGATAAACATCCAATAATACTAGAGCCACACAGTAAAAATAACACAGATTTCCACGACTGCAGAGAATCAAACCTGCTCTGAAAAAATGACGTGCAAATTTAATCAACACAAATTTTTTAATTTAAATTTATGACAGTTTTGTGCAAAAAAAACCCCCTAAAAAAACAGCAACCAAGTGTGAAGATGCCGGTCGAGTTTGTCCGTCAATAACTCAACACTCAACTCGACCAAGTTTGAGATTTTTAACCCTTTTCTTCAAAGTGAGAGAGTGTAGAAATCGAGTTTAAAGCAACAAGAGGGAGAAAAGAGTTAAACTAAAATGTCTCTTTCTGTTTGTTGTTAAAGGCTTTAAGCAGAAATAACCACACCTCCACACATCCCCGCAGGAAGGTACCAGATTTAGCTCTAATGCCCTATCCTGCCCGCAGTATGTGGCCTTTCTGCTCTGCCCTCTGTAACACACGCAGCTCTTTCCACGACACGGCAGACCAATCTCATTCCCAGGAGGCACCATTTAGCATCTGTCCAAGACAAAGGGAGGGGGAAAAAAAAGAAGACAGACCTGTTTTCTTTTGCTCATGATTCTCTTTTCATCCTGACTCTCGGACTCTTCGCCCGGGGGGCTAAACGCAAGCGGCGAAAGGTTGAAGCTCAGATTCATCGGAGATTACGGTCAAACAGAGACTGAGGGAAAGGCCTCTGGAGGTACAAACACGACCGACAGAGGAGAAGTGATGGATTCTTGTATGTTTGCAGATTAGAGCGTTTTAATTCGTCTTTCTCCTGAGAAGAACCTGGATGAGGAACGCGTGAACTTTGTCAGGAAACATCATCTACTGAGAGATAACAGTCGGAAAAGAAGTCCAATTAACACTTTTTTTTTTTTCTTGTCTAATTTTAGCCACAGCTGACACTTATTATCTTACAACCTTTTAATTTCTCTTTGTTCGTCTTGAATCTCACCGGGAAACCTCAGGTGCATCTGAGTTTAGATGAGAACAAAGTGGAGAAAGTCCAATAGGAAAGCAGATATTCCTCATGTTTTAGCTTTTTTACTCACAAATTAAAATGTTTCTCGACTCCATTTTGTCCAGAAGATGATCACGGACATCTTCTCTACAAGGATGGTAAACCACAGAAGGTCAGCGCTGTGTAGAAGCAACAGGAAGTTGACTGGAAGGAATAGTGCGGTCTGAGATCTTGAGGGGATTGTAAAGAAAAGCGCGTTGAAGACCTTTAGAGAGCTCCACAAGGACTGGACTCAAGCTGGTCTAGGAGTTTCATGAACCACCAGAATCTTCAGAAATTTATATCCTGTTTTCAAGGAACCTTTAAGAGAAGAGAAAAACTCAACTCCATAAAGACAAAAGTCATTATACTTCATGTCTAAAGAAAGAAAATCACCTTTAAACGTTCACATCTGGAGTGTTTTGTTTCTACGTCGGGGTGTCAGTCAGCTGAGGACACCTAGATCACACTTGAGGATGTTGACTGCAGCTCTGCTCCTCCACCTTCTCCACTTTTTACTGCGTATGCGTCCTCGTGTATCTGCCTCTGTGTATGAAAACCGTAATCACTAACATCTTTGGGAACTTTATTACACGCACTCTTTATGAGACGATTAAACAGGTGTTGGTTTAATAATGCGCCCGCTGTAAAGGTGATTAAGGTGTTTAGCTGCTTTGTCACTTTATCTGCGTCTCTGTTATTGTTTTTCTCTTCATGATAAAGTCACCGGCAGTTTCTCACTTGTATTAGGAGCGGTGTTTCCTCTTAAATACATGAAAGTGTCTCGTTCCAGGGCTTGGGAATCAGTGATCGATGAAATTAAATTAGTTTGGGATTTTTTAAGGAGCTCCAAGCAGACTTAATTCTGTTGGTCTACTACACGTACTGCTTTTAGTTCAAGACTTTGGGGTGAGAGCACCTCATCATACCTACAAGACCTTAACTGTTTTAATTTTGCATTGAAACAATGAAATCAAGTAGGGATGTTACAGTATGAAAAGTCTACCTCACGTTTATTGTGACCTAAATAATCTTAGTTTTCTGTACTATCGCAGCATTTTTGAAAATGTATTCAAAGACATCCACTACAGCATTTTTTATGCTTTTAACTAGCGCTAAACAACGCCGTGTTTTCATTGTTTCATCATCTCTAGACAGGATTACCATCTTCACCAAAGCGTTCCCTTGACTTTCCTACAAAACCCAAAATATGCCCGTCAAAATCTGTTGTTAGGTTGAAAGCCCAAACTCCTGCTGGGACAGAAATGGTCTCTGTGATCCAGTCCCAGGAAAGCATTTAATTAAAACACATTTTATCCATAAAGAACCAGCAATTCCATCAAGTCTACCAAGTCTCTGCTCTCCTGCTCAAGTCGTTCTTGATCCATCTTACCGTATAAGAGCAGGTTTTGATTCCTCTTCGTTCTCAGATGAACAAACTGACTGCAGGTAAACCCAGTACACCTTCAGTGTTGCACAAGTTGCAATGAATGCAGCGCAGGTCAGCCAGTGGCAAAAGAAAACTTCAGTGGTGAAAGAATAAAATTTAACATTGGATTATGAATCTTAAGATTCACGCCCACCTTGGTTCAAACAAGAGCACCAAAAAAGCCAAGGTGGAGCTACACATCCGCACAGAAACTGCTCATTGCTGAATAAATGGTTTGAACCAGTGCATCTCTTTACTAAAGCAGGATATGTGGACAAAGAGGACGATGATGACTGGGAATATACTCAGTAATCTGCATGACGTGGACTCGAGCCTCTGTACATTACTTTTAACATTACAATCCTTTTAGAGTCAACCTTTACAGAAATGAAATTTCCTTTTTAAAGAATGTAAAAAAACAATCCAAACATGGAGAGATCAAGTTCACCTCTGTGCTCTCATAATTGGAGTTTTCAACCTTGAAAAGGTGTCAGGTAAAGGCAGTGTTTCCATCAGACTCTGACAGCCTGATTTATTTTTAACCTTCTTTAATTTTCCAAAAGGGCTGACACATGCGTTTCATGGCTGTTTTCTCTCTGAATCAAAAGTCAAAGGTTTTAAAAAGCATTAACCTGTAAATCTCTGTATGAAACATGCGTGTCTGTATGTTCTTCTCAATGAGAAGCAGAGCCGTCATTATCCAGGATGTGCGCACGTGTTCCCTCAAGGTCACTGTGGGAACAAACTTTCCCTTTTGAAGTCATGTTCAAATTGACTGGGGCCGGATCAGGCTGGGAGTTGGGTCTCTGCCTGATCTGCAGACCCCCTTGAGTGCCCACAGCAGTCATCTTCCAGATTGCTGAGGGCGTTTTAATCAAACCCTCCAAAACTAAAACCACAACCGCATACATGCATCCACAGAGATACAAAGGCAGGAAGGAGAGATGATACGCAGAGTAACTTGCTTTCATATTTAATGCTCCTGCGCATGATGCAAGCAAGTACATGCAAATTAAATACAGTGAATTAATCACAGCGCTGATTTACTGTACTCTGCTAAATTTAGGTTGGAGCTGTGGAAGATCTGAGGTGGCATTTTTGGTGGTGAAAGTAGCACCCTGCAGAAAGTGTCGCTACTGAAAACATGCAAAGTACACACTACACATCCAACACTTGAATTAATCTCCCCATCCTACTTCTTGGCACGATTTCCACTGCTGACACCTTTATTTGAATTTCAACCAATTTCATTTTGACATCAGATAAGAATAAACAAGGCTCATTAGCATCACTCTAATTAGATCTCTGGCATGACTCTGTAATTAGCTCAAAAAAGCACTTCTCAGATCTCCCAGGCTACATCAAAAGGAAAAGCTTTCTCAATTAAAAGTCAGAGTCCTATGCAATTTTCTCCTTTGTTTACCTTTTTTCTGGAGTAACCGTCTCCTCCAATAGAAAGAGAGTGACAGCCAACATCCTGGAGATTTACATATTTCCCTGCCCACTCATTTTTTTAGAGGCATGACACACTTTAGAGTTTTGAAATCCACCACAAGTCCTGAGTGTTCACCGGAGATGAATTTCTGTGGTGAAAAAGAGGTCAGGACAAAACCAGAAACATTAGGATTTAATTGGACCGCGGCGTGTGTAATGGAAATGCAGCCATTTTGTTCAAAGACACTTTGGACCAGGCTGCAGGGCAAGTGGATTCTGGACAGGCATAGAGGGGAACGGACAGCAGGCCAAAGGACACAGTGAGCCAACTGTATGATGAGTCAAATCAGGGCTCCACAGTGTGACCGTTTCACTCACAATTACGACTAAAAATAGATGAGTGCGAATTGTAAAATGTATTTAGAGGCACATGTGCGCAAAAGAAAAATTAGCTGAGGCAACAAATGTGTTTTTAAATTAGTTTTAGGTTGAATTATGGCTGAAACAATTCATCGATACCTCAAGTACCTCGATTACAAATAATGATCGAGGAACTTTCTCTGTCTCAAGTACTCGTTTATACTGCTTGGCACAGATTCTTTTGAAGGTGACACAATGTGCTTACGTCACCACGGTAAAAGGAGAATTGAGCGCTGTTTAGGTTTTGCGGAGCAGAAAAATAAATGATGAGACGGGCTTTTCTTGTAGTGTTGCCAACCTAGCGACTCTGCACACTTCTCTTCACGCTAGCTTGTAGCCTAACTTCTGCTGGTCTCGTAGCAGAAGCAGAAGCCATTCAGCTCTTGGACACTAATGTCTTTAGGGACATGATTATAGTTAATATCATAATTAGCTTTCTTACAAGCATTGCAATCCGCCAACGCACACGCTTGTTCCGCAATTGTCCTCTATCTCTCAGAATCTAGCCTTCATTGCGGGGTTATAAGAAATCTAACTGAGTCTGCCGTTTGGGTCCAATTACTCGAGTAATCGGTAGAATATTCGATTACTAAAATATTCGATAGCTGCAGCTCTAGGTTGGATATTTGACGATCATTCACTGCCAATCTACTAGAGTCTTCTCACTCCCCATAACCGGGAATAACAACAGCAGCGCAGTTAAATCTACGCGTCACCCTCACTGTCAACGTCGGGTGTTGAATAAGGGACCGTCAATAAATTACCGGTTAATGTTCTCAAAAAAGGCTGTTTTTCGTCAATAGCTTCCATGTCATGTGACCAAAAGACTCCCAATGTCTCCCAATGAGACAAACATTACCGTATTTTTCGCACTATAAGGCGCAACATCAATGAACGCGTCTGTTCTCATACATAAGGCGCACCGGATTATAAAGCGCATTAAGCCAAACAAAACAGTCAGATAAGTCAAACTTTATTTAACTCATTCAATAACTCCGCAGTGCTCCGACAAGCCAAAAGGATTTTAAGTGCACCTTTTAGTGCGAAAAATAGAGTATTTGATCAATTTTCATTGTGTCCCTAAAGTCCTTCGAGTGCTCCTTACTTTTTCAACTTCTGAGCACATGTGCTCCTTGTTAAAAAAGGGAGTGTTAAGTCCTGCAAACGTTAATTTAATCCTCTCCCTACGGTAATTGTTACCACCTCTAAAAGAGTTGTTCCTCACTTTGGCGTGTTTTTTTAGCAATTCAACCCCGATGTGTGACATTTTGGATATTTTAGTTTGTTTTTCTGCAGTTAGAACTTCCACTGCTGCTGTGTGTCTTTATCTCACTGTGATTGTCATGTGAGGCCATGAGGAATAAAGGATGTTTGAGTGACCCGCTCTATTAATGGAGAATTATTCTGTCAGTCAAGCCTTTCGCCTCGCCTCAGACGTGTCACGGTTTTCAGATGTTGCTCCCACGGCGCACACGAAAGCTGTCGTGAACATGATTTGTTGAGAGAGGCCTTTTAAATATGAAGTGTCCAGTTATATTTACAGGGGCCGAGGTGGAGGGTAGGGGGGTTACATCCTTCAATGACACACCGCCCAAAGTGAAGGGTTGCAAAGACTTGACATTTGTCAGCGGGCAACTCTATTATTACTTTCCTTTTGAAGGCGACCTGTTCAAGAGAGTGGTCAGCGTGTTTTTCCCCTCAAGTGCCCTTTTTCCCTTTTAGGCCTTCACCTTGGCAGAAATCATGGCCATTCCGACACGTGTTAGAGTTCTTTTTTAGAGTGAAACCTTTGTTGACCTGCAGTTAGAAGGTCTGTACTCGTACCTTTTCCATTAAGACGGTTCACTCTTGCTTTACTATTGCTGCAACCCTTTCATTCAATGAAAAAACAAGAAATCAGTGAGTAAAAGCCCTTCAAATTTCCAACCTAATGCATCCAAGAGCTTTTCTTTGTGAACACAAAACTTACAAGTTGTTTGTCTGTTGTCAGCGAGGTAAAACTGATGTTAAGATAGTCACTGTGTCTGTTACTTAAAGCTCCTGAGAGCGATTTTTAGTTTGTTTTGGAACAGTTTGAAATTAAAGCTGATGAACCAAAAAAATTCAGGTTGCTACTTTCAGCTAAACCCGTCAAAAACAGAGCTATCGTAATTCAAGCTAGCCCTGCCTTACGGGTTTCATGATTGATGACCAATGGAAGTGTTTCCCCTAGCTTTTACGCTCTGGTGAGATGACATATGTCTACGTCATATGGGGTGATGCTGGGAGAGATGCTCAAGCTAGCATCCACAAGAGAATGTGCGGCATCTGCATCACTCCGTACCTTCATTTTAAAGAATGCAGATATTTTCAATTGGGTTGCTGAACGTTAGGGGAAAGTTTGGTGCTCCATGACAAGTTTTTTTTCTTATTGTTTTGTTGGTGGCAAACAATTGGCAGGGTATGAGCAGAATCAATGGTACTGACATGGCACGCCTCTGAACTACGCGGTGCGGCATGTCAGCATGCGTATATGTTTTAAGACAGAGAGAGGAGTGAGTGGAGAGCTCTGCTAGTTGCAGAGGAACAGAGAGATACATTTCTCCTGGAAGTAATGAAATGATTGCGAGCTTTAGAGTCTGAAATTTTGCAAATTATATTTTATGGGTGGTTTAGATAAAAATAAAGATTAAACATATGTTTTAGTTAGGGCCCGACCGATATGTATTTTTGGGGTCCAATACCGATTATTAGGGGGGAAAAAAATCCAATGACCGATTAATCGGCCGATTTTTAAAAATGTTTTATGAAGTAATAAAAAAAAAATATATATATATATATATATATATATATATATATATATATATATATATATATATACTGTAGGTTACTGCTCTTCACGCCGACAGGAAGACCGACTGATCAAATTCGGACCAGGAAAGTGTTTTTAACTAACTTCACCGTTAACTTAGAGTGACCGAGACCAGTACCGCGGGGAACATCATGAAGTGGGTTGAACTGAAACTTGTTGACTTATTGTGTATTTCACAAACAGGATAAGTCGGGAACTTTTCAAATGGCGGAACAATTTTGAAGTGAAACCGAATCTTATTCTCAGCATTTTATTTCTGAGAATATCGGTAAAAATTGGCGAGTTTTGGCTGATTGCTGATTAGTCTCAAATGGGTCAAAATTGGCCGATTTAATCAGCTTGCCGATAAATCGGTCGGGCCCTAGTTTGTACGATTTTTGGCACACATCACTTGCTCCAGGTTGAGCCTACATCTGTAAAAGACAATACAATGAAAATGACAATAATTTGCAATTCTTCTAGCACAGCCCAACAACACTCCTCCTGATAGGACTTGTACTCGATCTTTTGCTCACTGTGTCTCTGTCCATCTGTGTTCTGCACAACCTTAAACCAACCGGACAGGTTGTCTGTGGCGGTAGAAACCTTCCACACTCTTTACACACCTGCAGACACTGATTCACAGACTCACACTGACCTTAAACCAACGCCTGACAAACAAATACGCTGCTTCTGCTGACATATCGTATATAAAAGCACCTTCATGAAAGACAAAAACATTGAACGCTTTATCTTGCACTCACTTTTAGAAATGTTATCACTCAATATGAGATAAACGAGTTGTTTTAGGTGAGAGCTCCATTCAGAAATATCAAGTCGCATCTGACATTTAGACTGGGCTGTTTACCACATACCTGAAAAAGACGAAAATAAAGAGGATGATGTTTTTTTTTCTCTGATTGGACTAAAATTGACCATCTTTTTAAAAGTCACATTCAGTAAAAATCAATAAAAACTGAAGACTGAGACCAGAATGAAGAAGTTAAAACCTCATATAGATTTCTTTTGTTGTTAATCAGACAGCAGATCTTCAACTGGAGCAAAAATTAAGTAGAAACACAACAAAGTCATTTCTGAGAGGCCAAACCTGAGCCACATTAAAGCAGATTAAAAGAGTCACAGCGAGTCTGAGTCATGGTGTTAGAAAAGGTAATTACAGCTAATTTCACAGCAGTCTATTAATGAGTAACTGTTACACGTACCAATACCCCCAAAAGTGTTTGTATATTAATTTAAAGGATGGTATGTTTTTGTTTGTATCCAATTAAGATCCCCCCTCCTGTGTTAGAAGAGATGAATTCAGGAAAAAAAAAAGAAATGTATGCTGGAGATAAAAAGAAAAGTAATTACACGCCAAAGGTTGAGAATAGCAGCACCTGAGGCTGTCATTTGGAAACCTTTTAGAGCCACGTTTAAGCCCGATTTAAGCTATAGGCTTAAAAAACATCAAATAACTACCCTCCCAAAAAAATGACTGATTAATTCAAAATTCAAGCAAATCCAATTTCAAGCAAAACATGGCACATTTCATATAAAGCTCATTTTGTTTTAATATGAGAAGCTAAGGAGATTTGTGACAAAAAAATAAATAAATAAATAAACCATCAAAGCCTAAGACTCATAAATCTGTCAGGAAACAACAAACACAGGAAGAATATTCAACAATGAGAAACTGGATGGTAATTGGTGTTTGGCAAGAGAGAAGGAGACCAGCTTTAAAGGATTTCCTGAATATTTCACTTCACCAAATCACACCAGAGGAACAGAAATTAGTGGTAAAACAAACTTACACAATGTGACAACTTTTCTTAAATTAAAGCTCCTGTCAGGAATGTTTTCTCTGCGTCGATTTTTGCGCCCCCTGTAGACAAAAAGTGGACCTTTTCTCTCTGAACCTGATATTTACAAATGTCCCAAACAGTAAAAGGAGCCTCAGTATCTTCTCCAGATTTAATAACGATTCTGTATCCATGACAAACACATTACAAAGTGCGCTTCAGTACACTGAAGGGACGCTGAGAGAGTGAGCAAATGTTAAAAGGGGGTTTAAGCATGCAAGTACACCATGTACGGAGTTATACAAGAAGCCAAAGTGGCGAGAGGACAGGGACTGGATAATACTGTGAGAGTGCTCTGACTAAGTGGGGAGTTGTATAATACTGCTGTTGCTTTGGGCAATCAAGATTGCCTGCAGGGGTCCTGGAATAAAGATACTATATTTGCAATTTTAACCAATTACTCTCCATTTCTGCACTCGCTTCCTCCTCTAACATCGCTTCTCTCGGTTTCTTATTAACATTTTAGCAGTTCCAGTCTTAGAAACACAAACTGTACTGGCCCTAATGTAGGACAACGCTGATTTTAAAACAACCTCCCTCCCTTCAGGAATAACTTTTGGAAAGACTTGAGAAAAATCTATTTTTTAAACGAAAATGATAAAAAAAACTCACACAAGATGACATGAAATCAAATTACAACATTGATTGAAGAATGATCACACGTGTAAATGAAGTACCTACTGGATTGGATTGCTATATTTTCAGCCATAGCAGCTCTAAACTTGGGAATTGTATCTTGAGAAACTGTGCGGTTAGTTTCTTCTCATAATGTTAATAACATAAATTTTGCTCAGTCTTGATTTTGATTGGTCGATAAAGGTAAAGTGATACTAGTGAGCTTAGCAGAGTCATTCTTGTGTCCTTTTAGTACGAGTATTTAAAAACTATAAGAATTACAGTAATCTGCAGTCTGAAGAAGACAAGTTAGAAACATTCTCTCAATATACATATATATATTTTAAATATCATATTTATGCTTCTATTGTTGGTTAACTTTTTACTTTTACTTTTACACACCTTTGTGTCTTTGTAAATCTCTCATCACCCTGGTTCTGTAGTTATGAGTGACAGGACACCTCAATAGTGACAGGTACTCACTTTACAGATGAGTCGTGCCATTGAATGTAGAAATAGTGACATCTAATTATTAAACCCTGAGTTTGAAGATATCTTAAATATCAACGTCAATACAGTTGGTTTGTCATTGAAAAATTATCTTTGCAGTAAGAGAATCTTGTTAGCTTTATTTACACATGAAATACCAAAGATCATTTTATCATTTAATTATAAAAAAAAAAATACAAATCCATGTTTTTCAGCTTTCAAACTTTGATTTTATGCCAAATATGAATTTAAAATACATATTAGAATCCACAAGGGGTACTTGATTTACAGATAAATGGCGCTGGCGTACCATATTTACATTTTATCACCAAACTCTCATCTTAAAGATGATCCCAATTTTTCCAAACATATTCCAGCAAATTCCTGTTAATATTTCCTGTTAACACTCAGTGTATTGTCTGTACATCATTAACATTATAGAAGCTTCATTTACATAAGAAATACCAAAACTATGTCAACATTTTAAAATAAATTCAACACATATCCCTCTTAACAGACTTTTAGTTTAAATTCATAATTAAATATATTAAAGTATTGAAGAGGTTCTCACTTTACAGATAAGCGGTGCTGTCTTTTGTAACAATATTGACTTTAATTACTAAATTAATTAATATTTGAAGATGTTTTTTTTTTTGTTTGTTTTTTTTTACCCAGGTCAATACAGTTGATAATTTTCTGTGAATATTCAGTGCAGATGTAGAATCCATGATCCCACTGTGTATACACCTCCTCCTGATCTTTTGACTCATTA